TGTTTCTCGGCCTTCCTTCAAACAGCTCGCAGTCAGCGTCTGCGCACGGCGATGCAGGGCAGGAGAACAGGTCTGGAGCAGCCCTCGCTGTGCCCTCGTGCACCCGGCGCTGGGTGCCTGGAGCTGCTCACCTGGCGCTGCCCCGCTGGCTCTGTGCTCCTCAGGGCTCTGTGCGCTTGTGGCCGCTGCCTTTGGAGACCTCTCGGCCCGTGCTGCTTCTCCTGCTCATGATATCTGTTGGCCCCTTCCCTCCACTCCCGCGGGCCTGTTTTTTGGAAATGCCAGCGGGCCATACATCGAGCTATTTGTAACTGCACGCAGGCTGCACGGATGCCCAGGAATGCAGTCTGCTTACGTGAGCTGTAACTTCAGCTGCCAAAGGAGCTTTGTATAAACCCAAGGGCTTAGCAGCTCTCCCTGGGAGAACAACAAGCTGTTCCCCCATGCTGCAGGGACCTCCGTGCCCGGCTGAAGCTGCAGGCGGCCGCTTGTTGCAGCAGCAGAGCGTGCAGGCCAGGCGGCCGGTGAGCTGTGCAGGGGGTTGGGTGCCCTCCTGCCCGGCTGCTCTGCACCCAGCTGCTGCACGGGCCTGCCAGGGGTGCAGGGCAGCCAGCACCTCTAGCAGAGCACGTGGGGAAGGCAGGGCCTGCACAGCCCCGTCCCCAGCTCTGGGAGGGAGGGAGAGCCTGTCTGCAGCAGAGCTGCACCTGGGTGAGGAGCCTGGGAACTCGCCTCTTAGAGAACCCACCGATAGCGCAGCTTCCCGGGAGATGTAAAAGTGACATGTCTGGAGCTTTCCTGAGTGCCATTTATTTACTTTGGCTTGAACTCAGACCTGCAGCGGGGCTTCCCTCTTGCAGTGACCACGGCGAGGCTGGCCAGGCCCCAGAGCTTGCTGGCTCTGGGGGTGGGCAGTGGGGGCAAAGCCCTTGCAGAGGTGGCCCTCCTGTCGCTCCGGGCAAGGTGCAGGAGTTCGTCCTGTGCCTGCTGTAGTTACACAGATGTGAAAGCTTTTAAACGTAGAAAAATGTGCAGTGTTGTTTTTCAGCCTTGATCCATGTTTCTGTTGGTGTTTGTTGTGTTTTTTTTCCTGGAAGTACCCATTGCTGAGATCGGGATCGGTGTGAAAGGGAGCAGTGAGTGGGCTGAGGAACGGTTTCTCTTAAGCTCTCCCTAAAAATGCTGTAGAAGCAGCATGCCTGTATCCTGCAAACTAGACGAAGATGAGTTGGTGCCTGGTTTATTGGTTTTAGTCTGCTTGATGGATCTGTTCCGTACTGTACATGCCGTTAGAGAACACGTGGGCTTTGCATTAGCTGGTTTATGGACTCCTGCACATCCTGAGGTTGCGTACATCTGAGGCAGTGATGCCAGAGATGGTGTCTGACGTCCGAGTTCCTGGCAAGCTTGTCCCCCTCACCCCCACAGTCCCTCCACCCCCAGCCCCTACCCCGCAGCCAGCTGCAAAGCTCCTCGCTCCCCGGGGCAGGAGCAGCGCGGGGTCCTGCTGTGCATGAAGGGGGCGTCCTGCAGCCCGGGAGGGCGAGGGCTGTGCCTGCTCTCAGGGCTGGGCCCTGGTGCCCGTGGGCAGCAGAGAGCCCGGGGTGCTCTGGTCCCTGCAGGCACGGCGTGGGCCCCAGCTCCGTGCATGGCCCCAGCTCCATGCATGGCCCCAGGTCTGCGCAGGCGAGCTCACCTCGTCTTGTGCCTCGTCTCACCAGAGGGCCATAAATTGTCCCCAGCACCGTGTGCCGAAGCCTTTCCCACATCGAGTCTGCCAGCTGCCTTGCATTACTTATACCATCATCTCTTTGGCTGCCGGTACGTGTGTCTCTGGAAGGGAAGAGCAGGGTATTTTTTTTAATGAAGGCTTTTTTTCATTAAGTTGATTAATTTCTGAAGGATTGAATGCTTTTAACCAACGTACCAGGTCCTGTTTGATCTGCATTGGATTTTTGCTGTTGTAGGATCAAACAAACTTGTTTTCTTTATAAAAACACATTTCCTGTGTGCTGTCTGCAGTTGAAGAAATGAATTGCAGCAAAATTACTGGTTTAATTTCCTTTATGAGTGATGACTTGCTTTGTTTTGATTCAGGCCAATAATCCAAGCTCCTTCTTCATGCGGAAGGCAGCCCTTCCTAAAAGCAGAAAGCCCTAAACCTGGTGCTGGCTCTTCGCAGAGGTGCTGGGCGGTGGGTTTGATCCTGGAGCAGCCGCCTGCGGACAAGCGCCGGGCCTCTTTGCCCTTCCCCTCAGCTCCCCGGGTGCCGGATTCTGGCAGGTGCAGCCTTCAGAAGCAAAGGCAGCCAGAGCTGCTCGGCGCCTCTCAGAAGCCTGCAGGGCCCTCCAGCCCCGCCGGGCCGCGGGCAGCACGAGCACTCGGTGCTCAGCGTGCCAAACTTCCTTCCACGGCTGGGGGAAGGCTGGTGTGGGGTGCGAAATTACAGCCTGCTGGTAATTGTCTGTGTTAGGATTGGAAAACAGGCCTCCAAAATAAGCTGCGTGAGTACAGCAGGCTCCCTGCTCATACACTGCCTGGTGGGGTGCGATGGCTTGTGTGGCACCCTGTGGGGTGACCTGGCGCCGTGTGGTGAGACCTGGTGCTGTGGTTTTCCAGAGGAGCCCTCAGGCAGGAGCTGGGATCCTTGCTGGGGGTGCAGCAGAGGACACCCAGCACCGCTGCCACGAGAGGCTCTGCCGCTGGGCAGGGCCCTCCGCAGGAGGAGGACCTTGGCTCCATCCCGTGGGACTTCGGCACGGCGTTCCCCGAGGCCAGCAGCTCTCGCGGTGCGGTGCCCAGCATGCTGTGATTCCCGGGGGTGGGGGATTGGGGTGTCCCCGTGCGGGGGCAGGCTGTAGGGTGCCTGCGCTTGGTGACGGGAGGTGCTGAGCCTGCCGAGCAGGGCTGCTGGCAGAGCTGTGGTCAGGGTCCCCACACGCAGACACGGTTGGGATGCATTAGTCTCAATTCAATTTTGAATAAAATCAATTTGAATTAAAAAGATAAATCAGCTGCCGGGGAGCTGAGCCCCTGGGGGCTGCTTGGCACCGGGCTTCTCTCCTCCAGATACTGCTGGTGTCAGCACAGGGAGGGAGAGACTGGCCTGGGGGCTTGCTGCCTCCTGCCCAGTGGAGCGTAGATGTTCTGCTCAGGCAAGGTCTGTCTCTGAAGGGTCAGCTTTTCGCAAAAAGCACTTGAGGAATATTCTACTAAGTCCTGAGACCTCTCTGAAAGTTTTTGGAAGATAATAAGCGTGCACATGAGTTGTGTGCTCTTGAAAATCTCAGAAGGCCAGTGGATAGCTTACCTTGCAAAGGTAAGGATGTATTTATACTCTGTTAACTGTGGGTACTGGGGCCTGGGCACATCCCAGTCTCTTCAGAGCAGGATAATTCTGCTGAACACTTGAGTTGGTGGATTTAAGGATCGCAGTCCTCTGAAATACAGCTGTTAGGACAGGTGTTCGTGGTGCTCTTAAGTGTGTAGGCAATACTGGAAGTGGTTCTGGGTGCTGGGGCTGCAGGTTGGTGTCACTTCGGTTCCAGGCTGCAGAGGTGTTGGTGCATGGTCAGCAGTGCTGGAAATGTGACCGTCTTGCTGTCTGCTGTTGGCATTCTTGGTTTAATCGGGTTCTGAACTTCAAATCACAAGGCTCTATGAACGGGGTTTAAGAGTGTTTGATCTTTTCGCTTCCTGGCATTGATCCCGCTTGTTAAGAGCACAGATTTTAGCCTTCTGTGTCCTTCGGTTTTGACTCAGCCCGTGCAGTTGATTTGACATCGACACGTGTTGGGACTCCTCAGACTTCTAAACTGTGTCAAACTGAACTGCATTTGAAGCATGGTGCAGCGATGCTTCTGCGATCGAGACGTACAGGTGTGGATCCCGGTGCCTCCTCTCACGTCTATCCCTGAGCTGTTCCAGTGCATCTCCTCTCCTGGAGGACAGCCGGGTGCTGCCTTTGAACTTCCCCTCCTGATCTGACTCGCGGGGCCGCTGCCGGTACCCGCGGCGTGCAGGGCTGCATGTAAGGCACCGTGCAGCAGGGCGCAGACGGGGACTTCTCTCACGGGAAGCTTTTTCCTGTGACAGGCGCACTCTCCTCCAGCAGATGCTTCTTGGAAGCCTGTCACCTGCCCTGGCTCTCAGTGGCTGGTGGTCAGTGGGAAGGCCAAATGACCTGAGTGCCACGTGTCAAGCGTGAAGTGAACTTCATTGCCTTTTGGTAGCTTTCTGCTGGAGTGTGTTGTTTTGCATTTCTGAATTCAGAAGAGCATCCTCCCTCGCCAGTTGCTGCCCAAAGACTGCCCAGATGCGGTCCCATGCGCTTGGTTCCAGCCCTCTGGGTGGCCGGGTGGCACAGGGAGCCTGCGGCATCGTCCTGCTGTGTGGTGCTGCCGTGGCTCTGCTGTCCTGTGGAGCCCCAAACAAACACCCAGAGTGGAAAGGGGGCACCCGTGGGGAGTGGGGGCGTGCGAGGGGCAGCAGGGATGTCTCATCGCTGGAGTCAGGTGCAAGGTTTGGCTGCTGTGCCTCTTCACCTGGAGCATGGTTTGGGCAGCAGTCCATGTCTTGAGCAGCTGCGGGTACTTAGAAAAGCTTCTGTAAGGCTTGCTCTCGGGAGGGAAATAATCCTATTTTATAGATCGAGTTTGAAAAGCGGAGGCAGGACTGAGCAGATGCTCTTCACATGGCACTCTATAGAGGGACTTGGGGCAGATTAGCCTACGGTGCCCACCTGTAGAGACTAAAAGGTCTTCAAGGCAGAGACCAAAGACCTTTATCATACTGAAACTCATATCATGTCTCCCTTGGAGAAAATGCCCACTTTTTCTTTAGCTCTGCTAACGTGACGAGTTTCTTCCCAAGCCGTAGGCGCTATCCTGCCGTGGCAGCAGCAGCATGCCAGGCTCCGCTTAGCCAGAGCACGCCTCGCCGCTGCGCTCGGTCGGCTCTGTGAGCCTGCAGTAACCTCTCCCTCTTTCACTTTCTTCAAGGTAACAGAAGATAAGAGCACAGCTGTTCTCCTAGAGTGTCACGAAGTCTGTAAACATCCTGACTTGCTCCCCAGGAGAATCTGGAGGTTGCCACGCGCAGACAGGAGGACGGGTTTCCTTGTCAGATTGCTCTGCTTACCATCGTGAAAGGTGACAGGCACTGGGACGTGGAGCTAGGCGGCTCTTCTGGCGTGAGGCTGGCAGGAAAGGTCTTAAGGATCCCTTAACCTAAGATGAGAATTTGACAAGTCATACAGCAATGAAGTAGGAGAACAGCAAAAACCACAACTTGGAATGTATTTATTACCTAAAAGTTAGCTATTCTTGATAAAACCCCCAAAATTATTGCTGCTGCTTTATTTTACTTACAGATTTCACAAACTTGTTAATTTTAAAGCTACCAAACTTTTACTCAATACTGTATTCTGAGAAATGTAATTGGAGCAGGACATGCAATAGAATGGAATCATTGTAGTGTCTTAAGTACAATGGACTCACTTTTGTGTCTATTAAAACTTGGAAAATGTGCAACACAGGAACAATGTGGCTGTCATTGCATATATTAAAGCTTTCTAACGTTGTTTATTGCAGAGCTGAGAGAATCAGCGTTTTGAAGTACACGAACAAGCAGCCAGCTGGTAACTTGGATGGTTGTGTGTCCTCAATGTGTGCTTTCTAAAGTCACCTGAAACAGCAGGCAGGACAGCCTTGATTTGCTTGTGCTGTGTGTGCAGAGGTGGGTGGTTAGCCTGATGGCACCGAGTGGAGAATGAACTCTTGTGTCTACAACATCTAGTCAGTGAGTGGAAATTAAGGCCTCTTGAACACATGCTGCTGGATAGAAGGAATCCTCATCCTCACATATTACCAGAAATGACCGTCAGTCTTTAAAGAAAAAACAAAACCAAACAAACAAAGAAAACAGCTTATAGCTTCTGTGTGTCTAACTTAGAATAGAAATTGTTTACAAACTAAAGTGAACTGTGGCCAAGCTTTTGAAACAATCACTCAATTTCTTCAGTATTTTTGAAAAGTATCACTTAATTTCTTTGGATTTCTCTGGCAGTAATCGCACTTTCCTCTAGATTCCCCCAGTGTCAGAATTCACGATAATCTATTGCTTGCAGTGCTGGGGAGAAGAGTTCAGAGTTGCCCCTGGTAGGTAAAATGTCGTCTGCGTGGGCTAGAAGATTAGCTTCAGGCTAAAGGAGCATTGCACAGATTCCGCTTCCTGTTTGTTCTTAATCTGTTGCAGCAAACACTGATTAACTATTGTTGAATTCAAAGAACACAGAAGCTCGTATTTCCTGACTCATGCTTGTTCATGATGCGGTCTTCTGAACATCAGCAAGAGAGGTCAGAACTTCCCTTTTCTGTGTAACAACAACAAAGTTTAACAAGAAAAGGTAAACACCAGAAAAACAAACCACCTTTTTCTCAGTCTCAGTAAGAGCACACAGCCAGTCAAAGTTGTTTGCTTTAAAACAGTTGGAAGACTAGTAAAAAAAAACACACACAAACACCAAAAAATACCATGCAAACTGAAGTGCATTACTGAAAGAGGACGTCTGTCTCCCAAGATGAATTTTGGCCATCCCTGCAAACAAATAATTTTCCTGTTTTCCAAAAATAGATGTAAAAAGACTGCAGTGTATAGAGAAGGAATGTGTTCCTGCACCTTGTGTAAAGCCTTTGTGAAGCAGTTGTTTACCTGGGCATCCGCTGTGCCCATCCCCAAAGCAGACTGCTTTGGCAGAGATGCTCTTGTGCAGTGAGTGCTCCTGCTCATGAGAGAAACAGCTTTGCCTTTCTCAGCTCCTGTCTGTCTGTCTTCAGAAATTTCATGTGTGGTTTTTTTTGTGTGTGTTTTTTTGTTTGTTTGTTTGTTTTCCTAGCGTCTTCTTGAGCTAGGCTTAGGGTTAACTGATGGCTATGTGAGGTAGTTTCTGTATTTTATACTCACGGAGCTCTTCCTTGTACAAAGCCCCTGCCAAAACGTCATGGAGCTTTTTGGCTGTAATGTTGCAGCAGTTAGCTGAAGGGAGTTACAAGTGGCCTTCTGTTCATTAAAAAGAAGGTCAAAATGAAAATAAGCAAAGCCCCGTGCTCCATGAAAAGTGCCTGTCTATTCCCTGGTGATGGGCTGCTTCTGCCCCTCTTCCTGAGCAGGAAGGCTGCTCAGTGCCTGGCGTGGCCAAGATCAGCAGGTGAGTACTTGCTGCTTCCATGAGAAGGCGAGCAGATGGCACTCAGTCTCATGGGCAGGCAGAAACATCCACGAGCCGGGTGGTGGAGTCTCTGCTGGGTACGAGTTACAAGTCTTTGTGCCTGGTGCCAGTGTTTTCCTCTAGCTCGTGTCAGTGCTGCGAGCGACAGGAGGCAGGTCGGGAAGGTAAGATCAAGCCGTGTCCCTTCCCTGTTGCTGGCTGTAGTCCTCAGGGTAGGGTAATTTCAGAGGGAACGGCCCAATGGGGGTTTCTGTGATCGTTGGGCTCTGTGGTGAGACCTCTGGTGCATGTAACCTCTGCCAGGTGTTATTCAGTGGAAACTGCCCGTCCTGCAGCTGTGGTTAACGCTGCCAAACGCGGGGGCTCAGGGCAGCAGCTGTGCCCCACAGGGCTGGTGGGGGAGTGCCCAGTGTCACCAGCCAGAAACCTTCCCACTCGTCCCCTAAATCTCACTGCGTCCTGCTGCTGCCCCATCACCAGGGCACGCTTCATGTCTCGCAGAGGGCAGCAGCCTCCTTGCACCTGAGCGTGTGACATTCCTGAGATCGCTGGGCCCTTCGGAGAGCAAACACTTCACTACCTGGTACTGCTGCAAGCGGAGAGGTAAAGGAAAAAGGTTGGTTTGAGCCCTCACCGATCCTTTGCCAGCAGCAGGGACAGAACTGGTTTGGTGCCCTTTCCTGCCGGGGGGAAGGGGAGGCGCTGGGGCCATTGTCCCCGGGGGACTGGGAGGTTGCATCTGGTGGCCCTTTTTTTTCTTTCCTCTTTACCCTGGGGACAGCCAGGTGGCCTGACACCTGACACGTGTCTGTATTAACGCCAGCTTAAAGGATGGAGCAGATGAGTGAGGCGCTGCAGGTGAGTCACCAGGTTGTTGATCACTTTGCTAAGAACTGCTACAGAGATTTTCAATAAAGACAAAGGAAATGGTGCTTAGGGGGCATGCGAGTGGACTGAATGTTAGCATCCTGCTCTTAATCAGCGGCTCAGTTCTACAAGTGGGTTTACACACCAGCCGTAGACAATATCCCAATAAAAGGCACAACTTCGGACCTGCGCATGGGAATTGAAGAGGCTTGCTCGCTTCGCCTCACTGAAAAGATTATTCTTCAGTTTTGGCAGGGCTCAGTGTGAAAATCCAGCAGCAAATTGCCTCTTTTGCCTTGGCCATTATGCAGATAAATGACAAGAATTTCTCAGCAAATGTAGAAGCATAAGCCAGGAGCACGCTGACATTTCATTTCTTATCTGATTTTAAAAAGTTACTGCAGAAGTTTCTAATTGTCATTTTTAATAACACAAAGTCTCAAATGGTTTACTCAAGTCTTTTCCACCAAAATAAAAGCTCCATTAGGCTGAAAGCTAAGTGGAAATTCTTCCAGGGTAGCAAGCTGTCCTTCGTATTGTGTGCAAATTGGTTTTGTGCTGCCCTTTGAACACCACTGCCCAGTTCCTGTGCTCTGCGCAATTCCTGAGGCTTCCCTTTGTGCACTTCTAGAACTTGTACGTGGCTCGAGGAAATGGTGGGCCTTTTTCGGTCCATCTCAGTTCTTGTTACACTAAAGGCTTTTTATAGTCTCCTCTGCTCCACACTGTGGTTTTGGAGGTTTCCTCCTGAACACTACAGCTGTGCTTCAGCTCGAACAGCTGATTTCCTAAATGTGAGCCCTGCAGATTTAAGCTTGTTTTTCTTTTTTTTTTTTCCTAATATTTTATTCTGACTTGAACAAACACTAACCTTACCAGTATTTTTTTGTCATAAGGTGTTTTGCTAATATTCTGAATCTGTAGATCGCAGCTATATGTGCATAATCTACGTTCCTTTTATTTAGCCTCACGTCTAATGCACTTTGAGAAGTTTTTCAAGTCTTGAGAGTCTCCTTGACGCCCTTGGTATAGAAGGCTCACTCTCAGCTCGCCCTGCCTGGTAGGATTCCAGCCTTGTCAAGGGGAAGCCTCATGTTTTGTAGAACTGGAGCGTGAGTTTGGTTATCTTCTGTTCAAAACCAGCATTTTCTACCGAATTTTTACCCTAGCTTTTCTGGCTTACACGTAGTTACTTCTAATAGGCCCAGTAGGTGGCCTGACCTAATAGCTTCTGGTGCTTTGTGCGATGTGGGGTGACTCAGAAAATCGGCAGGTGAGGGACAGGGACTGCAGAGATGCTGATTTGGGAATGGAGCGCTGGTTTAGAAAATGGCAGCGTGCATCTGTGCATTCTGCCTTGGTCTCCCCAGCAGCCAGCCGGCTTAATTACCTTGGGTTGTGCTACCTCCCTTGGCAAGGAACTGGGGCGGAACGGGTCCGTCACCCGCTCGAACCCACTGCTGGGCTCGTGTCAGAGTCGTAGCACGTCATGGGGCGCTATTTAGGTAACTTGTATATCCCAACAAAGCCCTCACAGCGGCTTACAGAGTAAAAAGCCGTGCGTTTTGGGTTCCGCTGGGGATCCTAAGCTGTAGATGGGACTCAGCCGGTTGCCTGCCTGCCCGCTCGGTGCGGTGAGGCCTTTGTGCCCTGCACCTTGCCCTGCCCTGCTGTCGGCTCTGGCTGGGAGGCTGCCGGCTGGCGATGGCCGGTGAGCACAGGGCCGCAGGGGAGGCGGTGGGGGCTCTGTTCAGGCATCTCCCTGCCACGCTGTGATGGGGGGCACCAAGAGCCCGGCCCTGCTGCCACCAGGGCAGCCGAGAGCCCGGCCCAAGGCCTGGGCAGCGGGGTGGCTGCAGCCATCACAGAGCGCCCTGTGGATGGGGCCGTGCTGCTGTCCGGCTGTGTGCACCGCCAGTGGGGCTGGGAACCAGGCGTGCCCCCATGCCTACGGGAAAAACCATGCCAGCCCTTCCCATAGCATGAACTGCTCAGTTCCTCGGGCTGCTTGGTGACCTGGAGTAAGCATTTTGCATAGTCTGACTGTGAAATCCAGCTTTTTTGTGATGTAGTATTGAATAGGGGAAAAGAAATTTTAAAGTGAATGGGGTGAAAATCTGTTTCGCAAACAGCTCTGCCTTTGTCATTCATGGCAGACCTGATGAGACCGCTCTCAGGGAGAGGATTTTGCACAGTTGACTTGTGCAGCATTCCTTAAGGTCCTGTTTCTGGGCATTTCTCCGCACTTTTTCTCACTAAGAGAAAACTTCCTCCCTGCTTCTTAAACAAAGCAGAATCACAGCCACCCAGCTTTGCCCATCACGCCTGCACACAGCAGCCCCGGGGATGCGCCCAGGCCTCTGAGACGCTCCCTTCACTGGTGTGGGGCCAGGCTGCCCGAGCTGCTGGGGGGACAGAGCAACCCCGGCCAGGGGGCCT